ACCCGTTTATTTAATGATTTTTGACATCTCTGGTAGTTCACATTTAGTAGGCTTACTCATAAACCAAAATTTTGTCACGTTTCAAAAACCAGGTTTTGTAGTGCATATAAATGGCATACTCCGAAACAATTCGATTTGCCTGAGCTGTAGTTTAATGCTGAGCTGTATTTCCCTCTCAGATAAGGCATTTTCATCCTCAAGCCTTAAAATTCTGTTTTCTTATTCATGTACGTGTGTATCATTTTAATATGTCAGTTCACTTCTTTCCCAGCATTAAGAGTTCTTTTTTTGTAGCTAGATTGTCTCACTAGCTCGTCTTAGGTCAGGAGAGATGCGTCTGTTTATCACTTGCTTCATTAGAACAGTTGTGTCCAGAACTATATTATCATTCTTTAAAATGTCTATCTTTTTAGGAGTCCTTCAATAATGTTAAACAGTGGCTGCAGGAAATAGACCGTTATGCCAGTGAAAACGTCAACAAGTTGTTGGTAGGGAACAAATGTGATCTGACCACAAAGAAAGTAGTAGACTACACAACAGCAAAGGTATGTTTAAAGTTTGATTTTCAAACTGAATTGGAAGGTGCTGAATTTGAATTATATATGGGTATGGAGTCACACAATGGCCGCAACCGCCTTAGCTTTTAAAAATACATGCGCCAGAATACTTTGACAGTAATAATTTGTGCAGTGTCTGCTTGGATTCAGTGAACTTAGTCCTTCATCAATCCCCATTTCAGATGATGAAATGCACTAAGTGAAAAAGATTTTTCAATTAATTGTGCCTTATATATTCTCTTAGGAATTTGCTGATTCCCTTGGAATTCCATTTTTGGAAACCAGTGCTAAGAATGCAACGAATGTAGAACAGTCTTTCATGACAATGGCAGCTGAGATTAAAAAGCGAATGGGTCCTGGAGCAACAGCTGGTGGTGCAGAGAAGTCCAATGTTAAAATTCAGAGCACTCCGGTCAAGCAGTCAGGTGGAGGTTGCTGCTAAAATTTGCCTCCGTCCTTTTCTCACAGCAATGAATTTGCAATCTGAACCCAAGTGAAAAAAACAAAATTGCCTGAATTGTACTGTATGTAGCTGCACTACAACAGATTCTTACCGTCTCCACAAAGGTCAGAGATTGTAAATGGTCAATACTGACTTTTTTTTTATTCCCTTGACTCAAGACAGCTAACTTCATTTTCAGAACTGTTTTAAACCTTTGTGTGCTGGTTTATAAAATAATGTGTGTAATCCTTGTTGCTTTCCTGATACCAGACTGTTTCCCGTGGTTGGTTAGAATATATTTTGTTTTGATGTTTATATTGGCATGTTTAGATGTCAGGTTTAGTCTTCTGAAGATGAAGTTCAGCCATTTTGTATCAAACAGCACAACCAGTGTCTGTCACTTTCCATGCATAAAGTTTAGTGAGATGTTATATGTAAGATCTGATTTGCTAGTTCTTCCTCGTAGAGTTATAAACGGAAAGATTACACTATCTGATTAATAGTTTCTTCATACTCTGCATATAATTTGTGGCTGCAGAATATTGTAATTTGTTGCACACTATGTAACAAAACAACTGAAGATATGTTTAATAAATATTGTACTTATTGGAAGTAATATCAAATGTATGGTGATAAGTATTGTTTTAATTCTTATGGCTAAAGGGAAATAGAGCCTTGCATTATACTCAAAACAGCCATTTGTGTGTGCAACCAGGGCATTGTAGACCTATCTTAGAGCAGCATCCAATATGCTTTCCAGATAATATAACTAATAAATGACCTAGGGAGGCTTCCGTGCTGCACAGGGATTTAATCAAGTTTAGTGGTTCAGGGAGATGTATGCTATCTAGCCTGTTATGTCTGATCCTTCTCTAAACCATGTGAAATGGCTTCATTGGGCAACACTTTTGAATTCTGTGGTAGGAGGGGTGGGAAGCAGCACCGTTCCTAAGTGGCAGATGATTAGACTGACGTGTGCTGATATTGTCTCTGCCGTGCTTGGAGTCAGAGGTCAGCTCTTATCCTCCACAGCTGTGTAGGCTGGAGGAGCGTTAAAGCATTGAAGTAGAACGCGGGAAATTTACTCTTCGCCCTAATTTTAGAAATTATATCCCTTAAAATTAGCTGAAAACAGGAATGCTGGGTGGGAATGATCAATGAGAGAAATATATTTATTTCAGTCGAATTTTGCACACGTGAAAATTTTGTTAACTAGGACCTTAAAGATCCTAGGGTTGGTTTTTATTGTGGGGAACAAAAATCTTTTGCTAATAACACTGGCATTTTAAGGTGATAGAAGTCAAAGAAAGATTGTTTCCTTGGGGTTGAACTAGCAGCCAAAACATTCTTTACTTAGGGGCTTGGGATGTGGCTGTTGGCAACGCATTTCATGGTGGGGTCTTTAATTCAATGGTAAAATTTAAGCTAAAACAAGCCAAAAATTATAGGTTTCTTTATTTTCACTAAACAGGCAATTGAAATACACGGTACAAAAATAAGTGGTAAGATTATTGTAAAATGAAATGGACAGAATAAATATTCAATTTAATTTTCCATCTATGAGAATTTCACAATAAAATCACAGTTTACTTTGTATTATAGATGTGCTTGTTGGATCTATTCATCCTCACACAAGGCAACTGAAAAATTCCTCAAGTTACCAGTAGTTATTTGGGTGAAGATTTTTTTTAATGCTTCAGAAGGTTTGTTTTTTTGCCTTATCAATACAGTATACAGGGGGAAAGAATTCAGAAACTGTTTTAAAGTAGATGATACAAATGTCAGAAGTGTGATGCAGTTCAGTTTTATACAGCAAGTTGTTCAAACTGTCAGCTTATTCTTGGTGAGTTAGCAAAAAACATTACATGAATTTGAGATGTAAGCATATTTACATACTTACTCAGTTTGGAAAATTCTAGTGTTCTTTTTCCTCCATGGCAGTCCAGACTGGGGCTTACTGCAGATATTTCAGCATGCTTCACTGCTTGGCTATTTTAAATTTGCCAATAAATGCAGTTTGGTGGGGGGGGGGAAATTCCCATTCCTACCCCCATTTTCAGGTACAAATATTTCGAGCTACTAATGGGCTTTTAATAATCCGTTCAACTCAGTAACGGGAATTATTGCTCGCCGTATTTTAAATAAGTGGCTGCCATGAATTAGCTTACATAAGTGAAGAGTATTCTAAACCTCAGCAGTCACAGTCTCTGGGAATCCTTACAGAATGATGATAGCCATTCTGGTATGAGCAGTAACTTCCTGTTCTTTGACCTTGGACCAAAATTTCCTTTGGCATGTATGTCGCCATTGCAGCATATTTTTCATCGGCCCTTCTTTATGTTCCCATTTAAGCTTCAAAACAGCCCTGTATTGACACTGTCTCCTATTTGCAGATGAACTTAGCCATGGAGCTTCAACAAGAACCCAGGTTTTGAAACTGCCAATCCAGCTCCTAGTACTGCCACTTCCCTGTGGACTTAAGTTCTACTAATTTAAGGGGACTACTAGGAAATTATAATACAGGTAAACTTGGGATTTTGGAACTACATGATATGTCACTGTAAGGCACTGCTGTCCTTAAGGTAATATGTACCACAGTGCACTGGCTAGCCAGGCCACTTGAATCTAACCTGGCTGTATTTGCTGATGGAATGCTGCTGGCAGCCTCTTCCTAGTCAGAAACAATTTCAGCTTGAGTTGTAAGGGAGGCCTTAAACAAACTTCTTATAGCACTGCCGAAGACATCATTAACAGTTGTGTTGATACTCTTCAGTGGCATTCACAACTAGGTCCAGAGTAGGCACCCTTCAGTCACACCTTACTTCAAAGGAGGTGAACAAAAATATCTTAGATCATCTCTAGTTAAAAGCAGTACTTTGTTGGGAAACAGGGTACTCCGAAATAAAATATTCTGTGAAAATTCCTGTCAGCTGAAGCTGGTTATAATTATTAGGTTGAATGGTAGAATGGCATGTTCAGCATTCAACTGCTATAAAATACCATCAGCCAGTTAGTTTCTATAGGGTTGTCATCTTCAATTTTTTTGCTGACTAGTAAGACTTATTTTCATGCCGATCAAATGTTAGTAAATAAATGGTTTAACTCCCAAGGGCTGTCTTGTAACACACTCATTGGAAAGGCATGTACCAATTTATAGCCACAGAGAGAAGGTGAAATGTATCAATTTAAGAACAGACGCCATTAGATAGGCCTTTTTAACCAATTCTAGGCTTTTAAAAATACTTTACATATATAATGATCTGCTAGGAAGGTGTTTTGTCTTTTTAAAATCTCACTATGTGTGGAACCAAGATTAAAATAGAGATGGCAGAATCATAATACACAGTTTAGTTCTGATCATGCCCTTAAGCATTATGACAAATCATACCAGAGTAACAGAGGCACTTGAAATACTGCATTTTATATAGCTACTATTGAATTATATATAGTTTTACTTCATAGTTAATCTTTAAATATTAGAACTTATAGCTCATTTTCCAGCATAAAGTCTGAGAAATTTTGAAGCAGAAAAGTCACGTTCATAGGATCTTAGCTCACACCTAGGTGGACGAGATGGTGTTAAGATTATGTGGCTCAGCCCCCAAAACTAAAGTCCACAACTTCTCTTAAAGAGGCTAATTTTGTATTAAATGTTTTATTCTGAGGGGATATCAGAAGTCTGCTCTATGAGAATAACTTCTAATGTTACCTTCTCTGGGTTCAGGTGACTTGTTCATTGCTTTATAAACTTAAAAGATCTTCCTTTCTTAAGCACCCTCCTCAAATGAGAATCTGCAGTTTGAAAAAAAGATCTGTAAGTGTTTATCTCACATGTTTAAGTGTGAAGAACCTTTCCTCAAGTCTTAGCCCACGGTAACACTAAAAGTCAACGGGGAAAGTGCTTTCTTTCCTCCTTCTATGTTCATTCACAGCCCAATAAAACTTTCTTTTAAGTGCTTTTTTATTTTTGCAGAATCTGTGGTTACCAGCAGTAGCTGATCATTTTGCTTTAAGAAGCCATGGAATTGGCTTTAAATGGCTGATCCATACTTTTTTTTTTTTTTTTTTCTCTACAAGATACTTACTTACATGTCAACTCCCAAAGCAACGAAGAATTACCTTTTCCCCTCACTATCGACAGCCTTAGCTTCTGTAGTTAACCAGGCTGTGTGATCCTGTCCATGCCCTTCTCTGACCCTGGACTACTCTTACAAGGGAGAGCAGGAATGGAGGAAGGCTCCTCCCGGAGGTACCCTTAAAGCAGGTAATGAGTCCATAGTCCTGCTGAAGCTCAATGGCAGTTCCCCAAGTCCCTAACACATTCTCCTTTAAGATGTTAGTTAGGCAGGCAGATGGAGGCCTGGGCACTTAGGATGATAAAAGATATCCTAACAACAGCCCAAAATAACTGACAGAGGTTCTATTTGTTCAGAACCTTCTATTAACTGGGAGAGTTAAAAGTCTCTTCAAAGAGGAGGGATTTATAAGCCTATGCTTCATTTTATGAAAAGACCCAAGTTCCTGGCCCACCAGTCTCTTGGATCCTCTTTTATGCCTGAGAATACCAAGTATCGGGTACCTGCTTTCTTGTACCTTCTTTAAATGATCTCAGCAGGTGGACTAGTTTAGGAGCGCTCTCTCCTCTTTTTAAAGGGACAGAGGAAAGACCTGTAAGCCTTATTTGCATTATTTTATCAACAACCGCAAAGCTACATGCTCTTTGTAGAGAAGCACCAAAGGAAAACCTTAATTTGGAAGGATTCATTTTAAATAAAAATAGTTAACTCAACAGCCCTTACTTCAGGGAAGAGAAAGGCATTTTAAAGCTAGTACATGAAAGTTTCCCCCTTGATTTCAGTACTGAATGGCTCTTAACAAGGACTTCTGAAAGTTTCCCAATAGCCATATTTGGGCTAACAGATTACATCTCTTCCTGAGAAGATGCCTGAAAGAGAAAGAGAAGCATCTGTTACAGGCAGAATGCTGCAGAGGAAGAAATGACAGGGCAGTCAACCTGCATTCACTTTAGAATTAAAATGACTACTGCTCAGATTTATTTTGAGGCAAATAAAGGGACTCCCCTGCTCTTGATATACCTGGATTTATCCTTTACCTTCTTTTTGTCTACAGTGAATTCTCACTATGAGTTAAATGCCAGATTTTGGCTGTAGGACAGGAAGTTTCAGAGAAAGTATGCTCCAGTTGTGGAAACATCATGTTGGGCAGCGGCAACCCCACAGCCAGCAGTGATCCCTCTGTTCTCTTGGCCTCCCTTCCCTATGACTCCTGCTTGACTTTTCCAGAGATAAGAAGTTGTACTGTTAAGTCTCCAAGGCATGAACTCCCATCTTATCCCCCTAGCCTTTTTTGGAAGGGAGCCTTTTCAGGAAAAGGAGGTATGGAGAGTGGTCAGCAATTCTGGATCCCTGTGGGTACTTGGTGCTGTTAAGAGTTGCTTAGAGATGGGGCACCAAATGAGTTGGGTGAGAAGAGTCTGCAGAACAGAGGCAGCTTGTACTGGAGAAGTGTACATGTGCAGACATAAAAAAGTAGGTACAGGTAAATTTTGCAGTTGTTCTCGTGGGGGGTGGGGGCAGTGTCGGGTCTGCATAGACAACGGAAGCTAGAGCACCCTAGTCCTCAGCAGGTGCAGGGCTGAAACTGAGTAATGGGAAGCACCAGAGTGAGCTTTCATCATCACTGGAAGACACCCCCCCACCCTTCCTGGCAATGGCAGCATCTCCCTTTTTCAGTTTCAGGGGCTTCTCCCAGCCTCTTATTTGTTTCATCAGCTCTTCGCTCGACAAGCTTCTAAGAAACAGCCAACTGTTACAGCAGGAGCTCTGTACCCTAATTGGGCACAAGGACAGATGTTCTCTTGGGTTGCTCTACTTACCAGGCTAATCCCCTTCACACTGGTGTTCCTGTGTGCCATTGGTGTGTTCTCAGGGATGAGGGTGCAGCCAGCCAGTGTGTCCAGAGAGGCTAAGATAGTGTCATACAGGTGATCTGCATGGCTCTCCAGCTCGCTGGGCTGCCTGGAGATCCTCCCGAGGATGTCCTTTAACACTAACAAATGAGGTTTAAAGCAGTCAGGCCAAAGAGACAATGCAAGTGTGTTTTCAAAAGAACATATAAGGGTGTAGCACTTTATACAAGACAGGAACATGGCAATAGTTTAACAATGTCCACTTTTTTTTTTGACAGTGACTCTCCAGGGACTGTATTGCACTGGAGGATCTATGCTGTTAGCTTCTGATTAAAGCTGAGAGAATTATTTCACTGGCTCCACTTTGGAGTTAACGTAATCCACAAAAAGGCACAGAGACATAGGTGTCTGGTGACAGGAATTATCTGACTTTTAGAGATAAGACCCAGGGCACACACCCAGATCCTGTGGGGCAGAAGTCTGAAATGAACCAAAACAACATGCCAAGATTAGGACTCTGGGTCCTGCTACCAGGTCCTATCAGCTTGTTGGCTGTGGGACTGTCATTTAGCACATATATGGGTGATCTGGTAATGTAACATGGGAATGCTTGTGAACCCTTTTTTGTGGGTCCTAAATGAACAGACTTCAAAAGAAAATTACCTGAAAGCAGGCTAAGACAAGATGGTTAGTGAGGCCAAGATTCCATCCCCTACAGGTCAAGTGTTCATTTGAGGAAGGGATGGGCTAGGTTCAGAGTGCATCACCCACAGCAGGCTTGTTTCTTTCTCTTAAAAACTTTACTTCCTTTGTTAAACACAAAGGCTGCTTTTGCTTCCTGCGCCTTTATCAGCTGTGTTCACACTCTCCCTAGTTTCCTGCCACAGCTGCAACATCTGCTAACAGAGGAAGGGAAAGGGGAAGCTGCGTATCTGCAAAGGATACTGACAGATGGGTGGAAGAAGGAACAGGGGCTGGCTGTGTTGAGATCAGCCCCTGGGGAAGCCACGTCAGTGCAGCATCATCGGGGCAAAGTGCCGACCTGACAACTTTTATGAGAGCCAGCAAGGCAGGCCGAGGAATGCAGCCAGGGCATGCGGCACAGCTCACCTGGAAAGGGTGGGTTCTCCCCTCCCACATTCACCAGACCTTTGCCCAGTCCTCCTGTGAGTGGTCAGTGGAATTCAGGGGACCTTTATTTTTTGAACTTTTATTTTACAATATTAGAACATCTGGTTGGCTCCAAATAAAAGGAAAGCTGGGAACAGTGACGAAATTATCTTTCTCAGTTGAGACTTTGATGTTTTAATTGAATACATGCATACAGGGGCCTGGTTCAGCTTGATGCCAATGGGTTCTAGTTATTTGATCCAGTGTAACGAGAAATTAGGGTGTGAGACAGGACCATCAACTCATGCACCAAAGTAACTGGGTCAAAATGGTGTGAAAACCTGCCAGATAGCCATTGGGGAGGCCTTTGGCTGGAGGCCGAGATGGGCAGGTTTTGAAGGAATTAATTTGACGACCTGTCCCTAAAGTTATACTTGTGGCTGAGGAAGAAAGCAGGCTCTGAAGAAGCTTGAGGGGGGTGGGGGCAGGGGACGGGATAGGAGGTGTCCGTGCTCAGGCTCCACTGTCTCTGACAGCATGCTCTGGAAAGAAGAGTTGTGCACCTAGCTGGAGAGACCCTGTGAATGTCTAGGGAAAGTTGTGATTTTCACAAAACAGCCAAGTTTCTGATTATTCTAAGCAGAGGGTCGGGAGGGGCAGGGTGTCACTCTGAAACCATAGAATACCCAAAAGCCTCTTTTTTTTTGGCTGCGCTGTGCAGCTTGTGGGATCTTAGTTCCCCAATCAGGGATCAAACCCAGGCCCACAGCAACGAAAAGGCCGAGTCTTAACCACTGGACCACCAGGGAATTCCCTAAAAGCCTCTTATTTGGGCAGTAAAATACCTCTAGACTCCTTTGGAGAGGAGGGCAAAGTGGGTTGTTATTACAGATTAAGTGCTGAGAAGTATTATTGAATCACTTTTTAAATGAAGGTCCAAGAACCTGAAGCTTGTAAGAAGCCCACTGTTACACGTGGCCTCCAGGAAGTGTCCTGGTATTGAGCTCTTCTGTGCGGCTGAGTCTGGAGGTGCAGGAGCCTGAGCCGGAGGGTCAGCACACAGGGGCTGGAGCCAGGCTGCCACTCCTTGTGTGGCCCAAGGCAGATGCACAGCTCTGTGAAATAAGAGTAATAATAGTATCCATCTCACAGGGCTGTGATGGAATGAAAAAACTGGTATGTCAACTGCTTCAGCACACAGTATTCCAGAAAATACCGGTGTAATTACAAGTGGCAAAGGAGCCTGGCATACTGAATTCCTGCCCCAATAAAAACCAAAAATCCCTAAAAACCCTAGTGCAAGAGAACATCAGAAGAGCCAAGACAAAGGCCTCCCGCAGGCAGGGGATCACCAAGGGCTCACATAATTCACACTGGATAAGCCATGCCCTGCTGAAAACCCTTCAGTGGCTGCTCGTCCCATCAAAACCCCTCTGCCCATTCACAGTTTTCAATCTCGGTTTTTTCTTCCCAGGGGACTTTTGGCAATGTCTGGAGACGTTCAGGGTTGTCACAACTGGGGAGGTGCTGCTGGCGTCTAATGGGTAGAGGCCAGGGACGCTGCTGAACACCCTGCAACGATAGGACGGCCCCCTCACAGCAAAGCATCGCATGGCCCAGAGCGTCAGCGATGCTCAGGCTGAGAAACTCCGGTCTCCACCACCTCCCTACCGCCCACCGCCCACCGCTTCTGGTCAGGAAAGCGCCACCTCTTCCCATCTCAAGCCAGTGGGTCCTGCCCACTTCTGCTTATGCTGTTTGCTTCCAGCGTAAACCCCATTTCACTCCAAAACTGAGGCAAGACATAGGTTCTTTCAGCAGTTGGTGGTTCAGTCTTACAGGAAAATAGTGGCTGCTCTTGGCGGGGGCGGGGGGGGGGGTGGTCCATCGGTTCACTGTTTTAACCTAGCGTTCTCCTAGCTCATCCTATCATACCTGCCCCCAGCAAGGTCAAGGCCAATCGTAAACCCCTGCCCCCTGCACGCTGAGATGTACTCTCGAAGTCTGTGATTTTCACACCTTTCTAATCTGGGACCCCATCCTGCAAAAGGGGCTCGAGCTTAGTTTGTGCACTGCTGTCCACTTGTCCCCTCTCATCAGTTCACTTCTTCCTTCAGTCTCTTCCTGTAGAATAGACTGACTGCTCTCAGATCCTGGAACAAATCCCTCCCCAAACAGATAACCTGAGAGGGGTCCAGCCTGCACTGCGAAAGGATGGGAACCCTAGGGGCTCCCCGCTGTGAGCACCCTAGCCGAAAGCCAAGGACAGGACTAAAGCCAGCATTCCCATCCAGGACACCATCAAGGAAAGATAAAAGCAGAAACTAGAGAGCACGGTTCTTGCAGGTTCAGTGCCTAACTTCTTAGCACCTGCAGGGCTGTGACTGCCTCATCATGTGTTTGCGGGGCCGTGATGATTCGACGGGCTGGCAGATGGCTGTGGGAGTCGAAGGCAACGGGTATGGATGGGAGGGACTCTGGCACTAGGCTCCTTCCCAGTGACAGTGTGGGTCCCGGACTTACACTGAGAGGTATTAAGCCCTGGCTTAATTCAAAACCTCAAGCGTCTCACCTGGGGTATTATCCAACAGGCACTGAAGTAGAATCTCCCCTTTCTGTAAGACGCTCTCCGTCAGGGACTGGTGTTCATCTATATCTTTCTTAAATTGCTTAAAGCATATCAAAAAAAAAAAAGTTTCATTACTACCATTTCGTAGAAGTTATTAAAAATGATCCCTCGTTCAGTAGCTGGATTCCCCTTTTAACCCACCCAGTCTTCAGAATCCAAGTAAACAGTACGATAGTTTAACTTCACCTTCTCTGAGCCCAAGGCAAACACAGAGTCAATCCTTTTTTCTGTTTACAGTTTGACAAAAGAAAAGCTTTCTTTTCCCTGGCAGAGCCTGGCTCACGAACAGCCTGGAGTCAGGGTTTCCTGCTTGTGCCACACCTCACAGGGTTCTCTTTAAACTCACAGGCCTGTGAGAGTCTCAAAACACGGACCTGGTAAGTAAGAGCCACAAGGGCAACGCCTTTCACATGACCACAGGGAGCTGCTGCCTCGCCCCACGTCCTCCCCTCAAGGTCCTGCTTTCTGTGGACCTCAGGACATGGGAAGGCGTCAGGGAAGCTGACGGTCTCCTAGGCAGCTGATTTCTTTTCCCCTCGCAGCATCAAGCCTTGTAGCCGTTTCTGGTTTTTCCTTTAGCTGCTAAGATGTAAAGTCAAATCCGTGACCACCTTCAGTACAAGGTGCAGAAACTGGCAGTTTAATTTTGAAGTTACAATTTTACTTTTGGATTTACTGTATTCCTGTCTTCAGTTTTCCTTTTCCCTATTACCTATACTTATTATTTTATTCTTTAGCACTCTCTGCAGTTTATATGCTGCCAGGAACCCACCGTGTTATTAAGAGAAAGTATATAAAACAGAGTCACGAGTGAAAATACATGAACACAAGCACGCGTGCTTATATTAGGTCAAGGTAGCTCATACATATGCCTGAGCCAAGCCCCGTTCTGTGTAGGGAGGGACTGACAGTGTGATCCCACTCTGTGACAGTTGTGTGGATGACACAAGTGGGCTAGGCTTCGCTGACCGGCAGGGGTGACTCCCAGCTCAGATCTCAGCTCTACCCACAGGGCAAGACAGTTGCTTACGACCACCCTGGAAGTGGAGGTGCAGGAGGACAGAATGCGGGATAAAACGGAGGGCATGGAGCTGTTCTACGTGACACCTGCTCTGACGGGAGCGGGGCTGGGGCACTCCAGAAAGGCCACCCAGGTAGATCCAACTAGGGCAATTTCCAGGCACTGTCCTCTCCTCACAGTGGTGCTGCCCCCGGGCCTCCCGGGGGTGGGCCCTGCCCAGCTCTGCACATACTCTCCGGGGGTCCCACACAGAGGACCCTTGCACTCGGGCCTTCCTCTCCTTCCTCAAGCGTACTCCGGGAAAGGAACTCTGGCAGCCTCTCTCCATACAGCAGGAAACAGCATTCCCACTAGGGTAGGGCAGCTGGCCCACCCAGGCAAGCCCCCTCCCCTAAACCTTAGTAGGCTCCAAGTTGTACAACAAAGGCCCTCCCTCCTGCCTGGGTGTGGTGCGAGCTCTGAGTGGGGTGGTACGGCCCTGGCTCAGGCACAAGCAAATCACACGCTCTCCTACTCAAAGAACTGTCCCAGAAAACCCTTTCTAGACTAGCATCAGGTTCAGACCACAAATACCACCTCTGCTCCTTCAGAAGAGGTGAGAAAGGCTTGGCCAACCAGACATGCCAGAAGTCAGTGGGTACTTCAGTCACAGTTAATGTTTATACTTAGGGTAACTGATTATCATCCAATTCAGAACACTTTTGAGAATGAAGGGGGACCTACTGATAATTACGCCAGAACAGCACAAACTGTCACCCAAAATACACCTGTTCTAAAGTCAAGTTAACCGGAACCCACAAAGAGATTTTTAAAATAACAAAATCTAAAAAGAGGCAAACTCCACCCCCAAAAAATACCTTGAGAAGCAAACTGGATCCTATTTTTGTTTAAATACCATCAAAATGCCTCGTGTATATTCTGGAGTCAGTACAATTGCAGCTCAGATCCTTAAATCCAGTCAGTGTTGTCCAAAAGAGCTTTCTGTGATGCTGGAAAGGTTCTGAATGCTCTGTTCAATCAACGTGGTAGCCACCAGACAGATGTGATGACTGAACACTGGGAACGTGGCCAGATAACTGAAAAATCTGATCTTTAATTTTACTTAATTTCAATAGCCACGTGTGACTCATGACTTCCGAAGAGTGCAGATCTATGCCTATCAATCCCTGAGATATTTGGGAAATCACATCACAAATAACCCTGAAGTATTTTTGATTGAGGATAAATAAAATGCACTTTCTTCAAATTCTATTTGGTCTGGGAAATAACTCATACATGTTAACAGTTTTTCAGCTCTAAGAATTTGAAAAGAACCTCTGATTAGATTTCAGGTAAAAGTCAATGGACCACAGCACACACAGTGTCAGTTCTCTGAACTTCTACTTTCTAATCAAGTAATTTAGCCACCACTCTCGTGAGTGAACAGTCAGATGCCAGGACCACACATTACCCGGTAAAGCTGCAGAGAAGACTTGAGGCCTGTAAGGCTGGACCTGGATGCAGTCAGGTGGTCAGCAGCGTCTGCTACATCATACAGCCAGCGGATCAGTTCTTCCAGCTGACAGCAAAATGTCTGTGTAGACAAATTAACATGTGGTGTTACCCATGGAACCGCTGTTTACATTTTCAAAGGCTAAAGATACCTGGGGGAATCCCAGGATACAGACTGTGCACCTTTCGAGAGCATTCCCCACTGAGGCGCTGTCTCCTCTCTCCTCCATGCCTGTCCCCACCCCGTGACTCCAGACCTCCGCCAGGGCAGTAAGAAGAGCGCACCCGGTTCTGTTGCCCCCTCAGTCTGAGAAAATCCAGCCCCGCAGGTAGGGACAGAGGAGCTCAGGTGAGGGCAGGGACGGGGACAGCCCAGAAGGGGCCTGCCTGGCACAGAGACCAGTTCCTGGGTCAGCACTACCGCCAACTCTAGAGCTGCTCCTGGGGAAGACGTGGATGTAAAATACGTGACCGTGATTGTGACTGACCTGATCCTATGCCTGAAAACGACTGAATTAAAACTGCTTGTCCCTGTTCTGCTCCCACCCGCCCAGGGAGCTGGGGACCTAGACTCCTGCCACTCACTCATCAGGGGCGGCCGTGACCCAAGCATTTCACCCCACGGTCTCTCTCAGTCTTTCATCACAAAGAAGGGCACACGCTAACACCTGTCCTACCTGCTCCACCGTACAAATGAAGTCATCCACGGGACATCAGGGGGCAGGTTAAAGCCCTCCTTGAGAGCTAGAAAATTTCTGTGATGTCGCTCCTGGGGACACAGCCCTCGGGCTGGCTGCCCTGCTGCCGTGTGGACACAGCACCTGGGCGCTCAGCCGGAAGGCAGGCCGTGAGCTCTCCAAGTGTGTATACAGCCACACTCCAAACATCCTTGTGTCAGGGACTACGCAAACCCCTCGGCATGAATTACTTAATTTAATCCACACGACAGTCCCACAGAGGCAAAGCTCCCCATTCTACAAACGAGCAAAACTAAAGAGACTGAGCCAAAGTTCACATCTGCCTGACACTGACAACCCGATTCCTCGGAGTATTAGCTCCATCTCCTGGTGGTCTTAGGTGGTCCACAAGAGAAGGTTCAGTGACCGAGAAGCCCAGGAAACGGCGCATCTGATACCTCCAACCCTGCAGTTACACCGCTTTATCAAACTGAAGCTCTGAGAAGTCCTTCGGCCAAGCAGCACTTTCACTGAGCCCATATTTCCTGAAGGCATCTGAGCACCGGTCCTTCCTGTGCAGAGTACCTGTTAATCCTCAAGGTCAAGTGCCTCGGGGAACAGCCTGGGTAGTGGTTAGCAGCTCAGGCTCCAGGCCTTGCTAACTGTGAACAGGTAGGTTACCTCATCTCTGACTGCCTTTTTCTCCAACTGTGACATGAGAACGCCAGTAGAAAAGTCATGAGGGTTAGACAGGAGAAGGTGCAATACCGTGCCTGGTGCATAAGTACTCAGTGTCACTAGGTTTTATTATGAGGCTAGTGGACTGGGGGAAGAAGAAAGACTCCTCTGAAATGCTGAGTTTACCTTCACACACTGCACGAGCGACTCTTTTCCCTGCTCTCCTTTCCTGGGAGGCTGCCCTTCGGCATCTGGATCCGAGGATGCCCGCTGGTCCAACATCGCCGGCACGGAGCCGTGTGTTCTCAGTGGTCCAGAGGAGACCCCCAGGGCCTGGCTGCTCAGCAGACTGCCCTCTCCCGCTGAGCCCCTTGCGCGGACGAAGGAGCATAGCAAACGGTGGTTGTGGTCCTCAGGGCTTCGGGACCCTCTGAGGGCAGCCCCAGAGGGAAGCTGGCTTTGGCTGGAGTCTGACGGGAGGGAAGCTGGCCCATCACTGTCTGACACATCCAGGGATCTCTGCCCTTCGGCAGCATCAGTGGGCAGGGGGACCAAGGTGGGAATGCAACCCAGATACGAAACCAAGCTAGAAACCTGCGTCAGTCGAGAGGGCAGGGCCAGATACTCGTCATCACTTTCTGCCTCCTCTTGTGGTTTCCATCCAGACTCCGTGCAGGCGAAGCGCTCGATACCCTGGCTGGCCCCCTTCTCCCTTTCCAGCCTGGGTGAGGGCCACCCTCTGTCCCATGTTCTCAGGTGGAGAGAGCCCAGCTCAAGGTGCTTGCCCACAGGTGGCCAGTGCTTCATGCCCCTCAGGGCTGGCTCTCTGCTCTCCCAAGGAGTGTCCCTACTGCCTGGGGCTCTGGGGGTAGAGGCAATGGGGCTACAAGATGCCAACCCCACACTGCCCTGCTTCTGGGGTACTCCAGAGGGCCACCGCTTAAGGATCGGCGGCTCTCTGGGCCCTGAGAACGGCAGGGCAGCGGCCTCTGCTGGTGGGCAACTGTGCGAGACATTAGTGGGTGACTTCAGGGTGCTTGCTGGGGAGACGGAGAAGCTATCCAGGTCTATGCCTGAGTCCTGCAGGACGGGCTCAGCCAGCACGTGGCTGTCAAGGTGTTTTGGGAGCTGAGGCCCGGGCCTGAGGGGGTAAGTATAGTCCAGCAGGTCTTCATACTCTTTATTCGGGCTCCAGAGTGGGGAGTGGCGGTCAGGGGAGGGAGGCAGGGAATCCGGCAGCACGCAGGCCCAGTACTCGGCCTGGAAGGAGAGGCGCCTCCTGCCCAGCCCGGGAGCATCGCCCCCTGAGGACACTGGCTGGGGCGACCACTGGAGCCGAGGCCCCAGCCCCACCACCGAGGGGGCCGACGGCGGGACAGCCAGCTCCAGGGAGGAGGAGACCTTGGCAAGGGAGCAACTCTGAGGCTCCACCTTTTCCTGGTGACCCTGGAGGCTGCTGCCCGGGGATGAGGCACAGACGCTGCAGCTGGAAGACTGAGGCGCAGTGGCACCTGGGCTCACCGCGGACCTCCACCTTGACGGGAACGGGAACCCTGAGACGTGAGACTGTGGGCTGTGGTCTAGCGCCTGTGGCGACTCCACTGGGGACGGGTCATCTTCAGTGTCAGCATCATGTCCTGAGCAAAGGGCAGCGGTTCTGGGAACGGTGTGAGTCTGAGGTAGCTCCTCTGAGGCAGAAAGCCTAGTCTCCTCCATCTGCAGTGACAGGAGGGAAGGAAAAGGTGAAAATAAGCACGCCAAATTTCTTTCCTCAATGACAAGTTGGCACTTTTCTCTGGGGACCCAGATGATACTGAGGAAAGGTCTTGAAAGGAAGAGCCTGCTACCTGGTGCAAGAATCAGACAGAGTGTGCTGCTGGTGACTGGAGACGCAGCCTGTTCCGGGGAGCAGACTGCCTGCCCCGAACTGATCCTAACCCCCATCCTTTCCAAAGTTCTTCCTCCGCAGATGCCTAGTTCGTGAGTGAGCAGAACTCAAATAGCTCTGTCGTGCTGAAGCTGGAACACACTGCCTAACCTTTGAGAAGCGTGTCCTGGGCAGGCAGAACCTCAACCATTCTGTCGCTGACTCACATCCAAACCTGGCAGTCAGGCAGCCCACCTTGCTCAGCTCACACCCAGCGGTGACGCGTGGCAAAATGAGTCATTCACTTCAGCCTCTTCACTTCAAGTTTTTAACATGCTCGATGAAGAGGCTGCCCCCAAGGCGGGCAGGACAGCACAGAGGTTAAGGGCATGGGCTTTGGAACCAGACAGACCTGAGGCCAGCCCCTAGCTGCCAGCTTGCAGATGTACGACTTTGAGCCTCACTTCTCTCACCTGTAAAATGGGGGTAGTGACAGGACCGCTTCCTCAGGACATGTGGATTAAATGAGCTCAAGGGTGAAAAGCACAGGGTGAGAGCTCAACAAACAGCAGAGTTATAACAGCACCAGACTCGCACTCAGGAAACAGCCCATTTCTGTGTTGGCTCACGTGCTGCCGGCCTCACTGAATCTGACTCAGGTACCCGAGCCTGGCACTGCCCCTAGCCCCCAGGCAGGTGGGCCTAGCCTGTTTTCTCCCAGTCAGCTCAGCACCTCCTCACAGGATGGGGCTCTGGGGGAAGGATGTGACACTCAATGCCACAGTGCCGTGGAAGAGATCAAAGCCGTTCCCGTGAAAGGCCTTGGCAAGCAGAACGCAACAGGACGTAGAGATGGGAAGGGCAGGTCCATCAGATAATCTTCCCAACTATACTGAGGGCCTGAAAGATCCGGTGACTTGCCTGAGGTCACAGACACAGGCAGGACTCCCTGCTCCACGTGACTCCCATTAGGCGAGGCTGCCCTGTAATCAGGGAGGCCCCCAAAATTCTCCTTGCCCAGAGATGGTGCTGCCCACCACAGGGGCTCTAAGGTACCGCCAGGTTCCCTGGGTCCCAAGGAGATACAGTCTCAGAGCCCTCAGGAGCCCACAGCCCCGGACCCTCCTTTCGCACGTCTCCTCAGGGGCCCCGTAAAGCCTACACATCACCGAGTCAAAAACAGGACATGGCTCCCCCTGTCAGGGCTCCCCTGGCCTAGCCCTCTGGACAGCAGGTCTTGGCCATAGCTTCCCTGATCCTCAAAAGGTCACCAGTCACACTCCTGAGGAACAGGAGATGCTGTGGACAGAGCCCCCTGCTGGCCCCAAGGCCCAACTCTCCATGTGAACCTGTAAAACAGAAATCATCACACCCAAGCTCCCCGACTTCCCCACCTCATACGGGGGCTGGGAAAGCGTGTCAGATGCTGAGACAGTGCTGGAAGGTACTCTCACAGGACAGCTTTAGGTGACGCTACAGCCCCACTTGCCTCAGCCCCTACCTGGCTTCTCACGGAGTGCCAATCTCCAGTCCCCAGGCTGGCAGGGGGAAGCAGGGAACTGAGAGCCGGCTTAGACCCACCCACTGCCGGCTCCCGAGGGGCCAGGGCCAGTCCCACCGTGGCAGGCAGGGGCAGGAAGCCCCTGGGCACCCCTGACAGGGGAGGCAGGCCCCCCTCGGCTTGCAGGTGGGGCGGCTGCTCCCCACGCGCAGGCCCTGCGGGGTCCAGCTCCACCCCCCAGGGCATGAGGGCTTTGCGGCCGCGGCTGCCTCTGCCTTTTCTTCTCCCAGGGCCATTGAGATGTCCCTAGATCAGGGCTCTGCTGAAGCTTCAGCTCCCTACAAAATGGGAAGGGGAGAGAAGAGAAGCTTTCTGCATCTACGGCTAAGAAACCTTGTTTTTTACCTTTTAATGATTAAGACAAACACTTTTTTGGCCAAAAGAGCAAATGATGGCTCCCTCCTCGAAGGAAAACAGAGAGGTCTGGCTTTTCCTCAGCTCCAGACCCTTCCACAGGGGACACGGGAGCACGTCACTGTGTCCTCTGCTGTTGTGTGGCTGGCAGCAGTCCCAGCAGCAGGTGCCAGGAGGCTCAGTGCAGGCCCCAATTAGAGTCAAGGTCTGTCCTGCCTCAAGTCTCCTTTCCGCCCCTGTCGCTTTGGCCTAGCCCCGCTGGGTAAGGGGCCCGGCCTGGGCCCTCCCTGTGCCAGCCTGCAGCAGTTGTCGTCGCAACACACCCGGCGGCCGAGAGGCAGCCTCGCACCCACACCCGGCCTGGGGGGCTCCAAGATGGCCCGTGACCGGAGGGAGAAGCAGCTCTCCTCCTGCTGACTGGGTTACAGGTAACCGGCGACTGAGGGAACCGTGGAAATCCGGCTGGTAACAACAGCAACGGTCACGCCGTGTGCATGCACGTGACAGTGAGAGAGAAGCACACCGGGCAGGCGGCGGGCAGGTGGGGCAGGGGACCAGGGTGAGCACTCGGGGCAAGAGAAGGAATAATCTGGGAGCTGGATCTGAAAACAGAACTGTTCCAACAGGAGCTTCAGGGACCACAGAGGGAGACCCCCCCACCAGCCTGAGTGTGCAGGCAGGGGCTCTACCAGGAGCCCTGGCTGGATGGGGTGGGACAAAAAGCGGGCAGGAAGAGAACTCCAGGAGGATCTGGACACGGAGGCGAGAGAAGCACAAGCACCCAGGATTTGGGCGGCCGCCTGGAATGCACTGGGTCAACCTCAAAGCTAAAACCTGGCCAGAAACAGCCCCGTTCCTCAGAGACGAGAAGGCGGGTGACGGCAAGAGGAGGCGCTGGTGGCAGCAAGGAAGCCTGAGAGGGTGGAGGGCTGGGGCTGCGGGCTCATCCTGCTGGGCCCTCACACTGGGAACCACCACTGGTGTGGACCGTGTGCCTGGAAAACAAGAGTGTCCTGCCCTGCCTGCCTGGCGAGGCTCCAGGCAATCAGAGGCGAGCCTAGAGCACAACACACGTCACACGCACTCTCATTGCCTTCTCACCGCCAGCAGCACGTGCGCAGGGACTAATCAGAAGAATGACAGTCTTGAACCGGTCACACGTGGTTCAAATATAAAATACACTGCACATGTAAGTCTCCCTCCAGCCCTGTCCCCATTCCTAAAACGAGCCAGGGCATGCGGGGCATGACGACAGCGCCTGTGCACAGTGCATGCTGAGTGTCAGCTAGTGTTTTGGGGGGGAGGGGCGGAATCAGTGCAGAAAGTCACCTTGCAAGGAACGAAGGAGTCCAACAGAGGAAGAAAAAGCAGGTTATTTTTTCATATAAATCAAGCAAAATGCTTACCACTACATACTCCCACAAAAACAGGTAAATATGCTAATTAAAGTCATGTGTGTTTCTCACCTCTTGATTGTATATACAGACAAACACAAAAATCTATTTCATCCTTCCCCCTCTTTTTACATGAAAGTAGCAAACTACAGGACACACTGTTCAGAACCTTGCTTTTCTTTCTTTTTTTTAAATGAAATATCTTGGAGATCCTTCCTTAGCAATAAACAGACAGCACTCTCTCTTTTTTAACCACTGCCCAGCACCGTGCTCCACTGTAAGGATGCACGCCAGCGTATTCCACTGGTCCCCTACTGGTGGATATTTACGTTAGATCCAAACTTTTGCTACTACAAACAACGCTGTGATCAACAAACACGTACACACACCACTGCTCGTGTGCTAGCGCACCCACAGCACCAACAGTCAGAAGGAGAAGTGCTGAGGCGAAGGGGACCCGCATGTGTACTTCTGGCATATGTTCTACCTCTACCGGGTAGCATCAATTTATACTCCCACCAGTGGCCTGAGAGAGTGCCAGTTTCCCGCACAAGGCAGGTCCTCCTATCCTCATTTCACAGAGGGGAAAACCTCAGAGAGAGTCAAATCCAGGCCTGTGTGACCCCACAACCCAACCTCTTTATGAACTGGGGAACAAGTTACAAAACAGACAGACACACAAAGTAGAAGAGGGGAGAGACTGGTACAGGAACAAAGAGATGAGTGACCAAGTCCTGCTGAGAACGATTTTCATGGAGCCACATCCTCACCTAGTGGCTATTTAAGGAACTGCACATGAAGACGATTCAGGCAAACTGTGTTTTCACAATTATAGGAATAAGCTGAGCCCACAAGCTGGAAATATTAGGGTGACAGCTGAACCTAGCCTGCAGCCTCCAATTTCTACTTCTTGCTCCACCCCTAGAAATTCTCTCAATGGCCAGAGTTGGGCCATGATGGGTGGCTAATACCCCTTTTACTCTCCTAGTCCCCTCCCCCTCCACTAAAGCGTGTGGTCATAAGACAGGACTGGAATAAGATGATGCTGGGGCAAAAGAGGGGTGCAAACAAATGATCTCTGTCTTTGTTTTAATGATGTATTTTTGATTTGTCTTGTCTGGATCTCGTTATTCAAAAAAGAAGGTATCCATTCATTCTGGGGGTGAGTGGTGAGCTAGAATTATAAGCTATGCAGGAGATATACCTCTAGATAACTTTCAAGTATACATACAAACTTGAACTAGGTTAACAGTGTCGCCAGAGGCCCTTCAGCAACCAGCAAAGAAGGTCTGAAATTCAGTGATTTTCATGGAAATGGTACTTCTGAAGAGACAGATTATAGGTGGTTATTTTCTCAGTCTGGATACGCAGTCCCTTCATAATCTTACTTATTAATCTGCCTAACAAATCATGCTGTATTTTCCCTGCGCCACAGGGTTTTATGTGAGAACTAAGACAGATTCATGTGAAAGAAAAAAAGTCCATGAGTGTCCATTCCAAATTCTATGTAAAGTACTACAGAATACAAAGAAAAGAGAAATCAACTCGGAGTGAGATAATCAGGGGAAACTTCTTGAAGTAATGACTGCTGAAATACATCAATCATGTCGAAGAAAACATCAGCGTAGCGAATGTATAAGCTTTGGATTTCTAGGGCTCAACTCTGTCTACATCTGTCAGGTGGGCATCTGTAATACTGCATGAAAGTCCAGTCCTCATTTCCACAGATTCTAGATTTTACACATCATCATTCCTTCTAACCCTCTGAGGGTGAGGATGGAGATGGGGATTCTGCTTGAACCCTTCCAGTGAGACAGCTTACTCCTTTCCTAAACACCCAATGGACTGCTCAGATGAAGACAACTTGCTATGCTGTCAGCAGCTTCAAACAACCTACTACTCTACGTGGGTCCTCCCTGCTCTCTGATCACACAGTTTACAGTGTTTCTGGAGGCTAGCAGCTTCTTGGTGGGCAGAGGCCTCAGTCAACCTCCTTCCTAACCGGGAAGCAACAGGAGATTGGACAGAGTGACTGGAGAGCTCTGAGCACAGACGATGAACAATGAATTCAAGCCTCCCATCTGAAAAAGGTCTGCACACACCAGTTCACCCCTGTGCTTGGCCAGACCAAGCGACAAGACACATAAGCTTCAGGATGTTCTAGGGACCACCTGGAGTTTGGTATTAAAATTCTCCATTAGTTTCTACGACTTGCAGAGACCGTATGACCTACCAGATACAATGAGGAGTTATGCAGGCTTGGCTTACTCTTGCCCTACAGAAGTATGGGGTCACACTAACTGGGTAAGCCTGGACTCCTGACGCTTCCTGCTATCTGCTGCACCACCCTCGCGCAGGCCTGTCACAGCTACCAGGACTTCCTCCCACTTGCTCCTGTCCAGGATGGAGAACAGAGGACAGGGAGGTGTGCGTGTGTATGGGGGGGGGGGGCGTGATGCCCCTCCCTTAACTAAACCAGTCAAACGTACAAATGATCGACTTAGGGAGCAATCCTCCTCTGATCAGAAAGACTTTCCCCACGATTCTGTAAATCACAAGCTCCCCTTCCAAACAATCTGATTACTACCAACTCTGCCCAGGAAGCTGGGTTCTGATCAGGGCCTGTCTCTGTAGCCAAGTGCACAGACGGCACCTGTACAGGCCACGAAGGCCAGGTGCTGCCTGACAGAGCCAGCCCTACCTGTTCAGGGTCCAAAGTCTTGAAGCTCCGTGCTGTTTTTGCAGGAGGCCACAGGTGTAAGTGGTCACAGCGTGCACACACAGTGGCAGAATCTGGCCAGAGAAGCAGACAAAGAGGCTCTCAATGCCACTCTTTCTCTAGGAACATAAAGCTACCCACAAGGAAAGGGGGCCAGTGGGGAGGACCCAGCACTGTCAGGTTGCTGGAAGGCTTCTGCGGGAACTAGATGGACAGCAGAAAGGAGCTCAAAGGCAGAAGCCAGGCCAGGCATGGGAGGCAGCATGAAAGCAGGTAAAGACTTACGCGGGGGAGGCCAACAAAAGGGGCAGTCACAAGAGGGCCAGGCCCGCCTCAAAGGGGGGTGGTGCCGGGAACGCTGTGGCGGGAGGTTTGAGACTGGGAGGCCGACGGCGGAGAGCAACCGTCGTTCCACCTGCTCCTTCCTTGGATGTACAAGCCCTGCAGCCCCTCAGTCCTCCACACTGGCCCTGTCTTTCCCTGTGGGGCAGGTCACCCCAAGTGTTCTGTCCCCCTCCTTTGCAGGTGAAAGCAAGCAAAATGAAAAGTGAGAACAGGCTCAAAGCTGTGAAGGGGTAGACGTGTCTCCCACAGCTTGGCAATAGGTCGACGCCGTCTTCAGGATCCTTGGCCCCAGCAGCCCTTTTCCTCCCCCGCAACTGGGGCAGCTTCCTTACCTTTTGCTTGGAGACAAAGAGTCCTCCAGGGCCCTAGGAGGCACACTGGGTCCCTCTAATAAAGTGGTGGGAAGGCTGCTCTCCCCTACTTTCACACTCTCACTCAATAGCTGGCTGACTGACTGGGGCCGCAGAGAACCTCACAGAAAGGCCAGTCTTCTAACCTGTCATGAGAGGTCTTTAGATGACCTATAAAGAGGTGCAACTGTCACATCTACGAGGATCTTAACTGAGCTTCCAGCCACCCCTCCCCTCAACCCCAAGCTCTCTGGCCTCCTCAGCAGTCACTAGATCGTTGCCATCCAACAAAGCTCGAAGTATGAGGATGATGGGGACTGAACATGTCAGTCAACTGGACACTCTGTTCCCACCAAAGAGCAAGACCGAAAAACAGCTGCCCTGTAACAAAAATCATTCCTACTGTCTGAAGAAGCTGGCCCTGGACCACATGGCTGCAGTTCCACAGGCCACTGGTTTTACTGTACTGACAGTTTTCTGTGAGTCTGTTGGGCTACATTGTATGAAGATTGATAAGAATCTTACTGATTTTCTGGAGATACTATTCAGAACACTTCTCTTTGGAGAAGAATTCTCAGGTCTCAGTAATAGAAACAGCTGTTTCACTGAGTAGCCAGTTTGTTTTTACTTTATATAGGTACTGGCAAAACTGGTTCCAAAAAATATTCTCCTCTTTGCTCTTGCTGCTTGGAAGCTCAGAACCCAATCAGTAGTCCCACCCAAGTAAAATGTATAGCACAGCGAGGAACTCACCTTTTGTACTTATCTTTGACTTCTCTTAATTTTCTTTTACCCTATCTGCCTCAATCACTTTTTATTAAAAATCTTGTTACACTGAAACTATTTTGGAAAGATTCCTCAAATCATTTTTGGAACAAAATAGAGGAACTGTTAAAAACAGAAGGAAAAAAAAAAACAACTCCTAAATCCAAGACTTCATCTCAATACCAGAAGGAAACAAAGCCTGTTTACCAGTACATCTAAAAAGCAAATGTAGATACTTATGTTAGTACCTTTCTACTCAAAGTCCACGGAAAAGCAGCATATGCAGCACCTCAGAGCCTGTTGGGAACACAGATTCTCAGGCACTACCCCAGAGCTTTGGGATCAGAATCTGCATTTTAGCAAGCTCTCGAGGTGGCTGGTAAGCACAGTAATGTTTCAGAACCACCAGGTTAGTAAGCCTGTTTCAGCGCCCTGAACCATTCATCAAGCACCTACTTATGCAAGGCACACAAAAGAAGGAAATTTATGGTCCTTGTCCTCAAGGTCTTTCCAACAGGACACTAGAAAAAGCTCACACCTTGTGGCAGGTTTTTAATGGTTAATTATAGAATGTCACAACTGGAAGGGCATCTTCAGAAAGAACAGTATTCCCTAGAAAGGATTCAAGATTCATGTGACTACACTAAAAGCAGAATCAGAGACCAGAATTCTCCTGAGACAGCTATAAGTGAGAAGAGGTACGGTCTCTGTTTTGGGGACTCCAAATAATTTTAGAGAAACTGACATGCCAAGGGGACCTACAGCTGGAAGGAAATGGACAACTTAGCCTGTTTCCTGTGACCAGAAAGTGGTACAGGAAAACCTGGAAGTGAGGCAACATCCTCCTAGGGGATGTATATGCCACCTCAAGGTCTGGCAAATAGATTGAGAGCTACCAGAAGACTTCTTCCACTTTTCACAATTTTTGTGAACTTTAAAGACAGGAGACAGTTTTTAAGAGAGAACAGATTTAAGTTAAAAGGAGAGAAGCCACTTCAAGTCCGCCTCCAACTGAACCAACATTTTTGTCAGCCATATCAGCCCCCACCTCCTCTGCTTTCACATGACCATTCTGAGTAACAGACCGCATGAAGAGTGCATCAAATACTACTTGGCCAAATTGTTATTCGGCACTCCATCAATCTCCACTGGGTAGAGGTACTCTAAAGGCATAAACGAGTAATCTTCCAGTGGGGGGAAAAGTCTGGAATGGCTTAAGGGATTTTTTAAAATCAAGGAACAGATAAGGACCAAGAGGCAGACAGAACCTGAAGGGTCAAATACTATACAGATACTGAGCACTAGTGAATCTGTTCAAGTACGTTTATTTTTATCCTAACAACTGCTAACAGCTACTGAACATTTTCTTTGTGCCAGGAACTATGCTAAGCACTTTATGTCAATGTTTTACTTAAACCTCAGAAATAATGGAGTAGGACCTATTGTCACTCCCACTTTATAGAGACTGAGGCATACGGAAGTTAAATAACTTGTCCAGGGTTAGGAACATGGCGGAGCTAAAGTCTGATTTGCCTTGAGAGCCAGAGCTCAACTGTCTCCCTCGCCTGTAAGAATAATCGGGCCGAGTTAAAGGAATTAAAGTTTTTATTTTGTCAACTTTTGGTTACACTGCTGATTTTTTGTTTTCTTTTGGCTTCCTTCAATCACTGAGTGCCTTCTATGCTCCAAGCACTATGCTACGGGCTGGGGAAACCACAATACAGTGTGATGTATAAAATCAGAGGCTATGGAAGGCGGCTGTGCAAAGGAGGGAGCGATTATTAGTTGTGGGGTAGGGCAAAAGCTTTCCAGAAGACATAAACCCTGAATTATTTGCTCTTTTCTGTACCGGGTGGCCCAGAACTGATCGACCCAGGTAGTGGAGGGAACAAGGATGAGAAGGGGTGACCTCTACCTCTTTTAACCAAGCCCTGTATCGTTGACTCCTTGACCCAACACATTTTGTCATGCATATTAACAACACCCTTTACACCCTAGGTCCAGGAACGTAAGGGTATTTATGAATGCCATCTATCTTTGTGCCTGCCTTCCCCCACCCACTCCAGTGAATTCCCAGTGAGGTTCAAATTTGCTCTGGCACTAGCAGGTTTCCGCTCATTTTTATTACAAACAATACACCGAACCCAACCTAATAATTATAAAAGGCCTTGAAACAGGTTTTGGACTTGTGCCCCTGGGCTGAGAACCGTTCTAGCGATGACAGTTGGAAAGGGTGGCCCCTCCAGGCAAAAAAAGTGAGACAAATGGCTTTTTCCCCTCAGCAGCGGGGCTGCTGCATTCAAGGTGACCAGAAGGCATCGTTCGTCTCCATCTTAACAGTGGTAATGATCCTGAGCGGGTGAGAGAGGGTCTCTGCGGTAGACCAGGTACGGGAGCAGCGCGGGCCCCTAACTCCCGGGGAACCTGGGCCCGGCGAGCGCGCAGTGTAAACAAGATACCGCCCAGGGCGAGGCCGCGAGGGAAAGTGAGTCCCCAGCAGCCGAGGCAGCCCCGCGGCGCAGCTGCTTCGACCGCAGGATGCGCGGACACGCGCGCTCCCGCGGCCCGGCCTCGCGGCGCTCAGGCTTTTCCAACGCCGGCCTCCCACCTCCGCGCCTAGACTCCCGGCCGCTAACCTCACCCGCCGTTTCGCCTGCAAAATGGAGTCTCAGGCACGAGGCGCCCCCGCCTCCGCGAGGCCTCTGCGCCCTTCCAGGCGGGGGACACCAGGCCCAGAGGCCAGCCCGGCCCGCCTCCGCAGACCCCGAGAACGCAGGGCAGAGGGGGCCGGGCCAAAGCCCCCTGCGCCGCGGACCCCCAAACCCCGCGCCCGTACGCCGACAGCTACATACCGCGCCTCAAACCCTTCGGACTCCCGGACCGACCCGGGGGCGAAAGCAACCGCACGCAGCGGCCCCGAAACGGGATTCCCAGGTGGACACCGCCGCCCTCCCGCCGGAGTCCTGAACGCCTGAGGCGGGACCGAGTGATGACCACGCCCTTCGGGCCCGCCCTGCCTCCGCGCGGAGGGCGCCTTTGGAGCCGCGCGACCAATCCCAGCCGTCAGTCCGGAGGATCGACCAATGTACGACCCACTCCTGCAAGAAGAGCCCACCCCTGGCACCGTCTTGGCCTATGGGAGGTCTGACTTTATTCTATCTGCAGTCCTCCCTCGCCTTCCGCGCTCGCCGCTCGCTTTGCGTGTTTGGAGCCAATGGGGTCGCAAGAGGGCGCGTAGTCCCGAGCAGCGAGGAGGGGAGGGTGACTTGGGGCGCTCTCCTTGCGAGCAGGCCGCAGCCGGAGGCATGCGTTCGTTGATTCACTTTGCGCAGAGCGCCGGGCAGTGTTCCTGGCGCGACGCTGCCAGGGAGGCGGATCCACAGTCTTTGTGCGTCTGTTTACATTCGCATGTAAACAACCAGGCGTGAACCGAGGCCTGAACAGGTGCCACGGGGCACAAGCACCGGAGGAGGGCGAGGT